ATTAGCATTGCTTTCTTTAAGTAACGTGATTATACTGAAAGACTTTGTATAGGTTGAAGAATTTGGAAGGAGAGTGAATGGCAAACTCATATTAGAAGAACCCTGAAAATTTCACAATATTCTTGAAGCTTGGTAATACAGTTTTGTCAGTAAACAATATTCAAAAATTATCATAGACAGAGAATTTCAAACTTATATCCTATAATTACATATTTTAAGTTTGAGGATTATGTCAGTTTTATTATTATAGTACTTTCTATTTTTTTTAACTTCCTAAACTGTAATTTTATCTCTAGAAGTTCAATTAGGGCATAGGTGAAGGCATACTGGGGCTGTAGAAGAGTCATAAAAACATGGAACACATCATGAATCTGTGTGTTATCCTTGCACAGGGGTCATGTTAATCTTTGCTGTATTGTTACAATTTTAGTACATGTGCTGTCAAAGTGAGACTAATACGAGAATTCTTAAGATATCATTTTCTCTGGCCACTGAGTGAGGTTTTCGAAGTTAAGTTTTCTTTTTGATTCAGTACTGCACAGTCTTATACACAATCAGTGGTCATAAACTGGTATAACTTTTTGTTAGTTTGGCTTGTGGGTTATTTGAGACAGGATCTCCCTATATAGCCTAGCACTCTTTTCTTTTAATAATTTATTGAGAATTTCATACAGGCATATAAGCATATAAGGTGTTTTGATCAAATCCATGCCCACTCCCTCCCCTCCAACTCCTCCCATATCTCCCCACCACCACTTTTTCCTAATAACTTCATGTACTCTTTCTTATTTTTTTGGTGGGGGTGGGGTGGGCTGTTTGCTACTATAACATTCCCACCTCTGAAGTGGTAGCCCTAAAATCTTTCAAGGATTAGACGAGAACTCCCAAATACTTTTGATGTTTTTGGCCTTTAGAACTGAGTATGTTGTTAAAAGGCCCAAGGACATTTTGACTTTTAGCCAAGAAGCTGACTACTTTTCTTTGGGGTCTTTTTACACTAACTGCCTAGCCAATTCCTACTTCCTATTCTTATCACATCATCCTCTGAAGAGGTTACTCAGCTTGGACATTTTGAGAGATGTTCCATAGTCCCCTGGAACTTAGTCGACCTTGGAGGGCAAGGGGCAAAAACTGTCCTTTAAGTTCCTCTGAGCAGATTAATATAGGCCTCAAAGTATGGCTGTAAACATCCAATAAGGTTTAACAAAAGTACCACAAGTCTGGTACTTTTAATTACTATGTGCTATGTAGATAAAGCTTGGATAAAAAACCAAATATTCTCAGATAAACCTTGACTAGATATATATTTTGTTCCTTAAACTATTTGACTAAACGATGAATTAGAAATTTTAAGATTATAAGAGTATGTGCATATTATTTTTTGTCTCATTATATAGCATAACAAACCTACACAGACCTTCGTCACTTGCTTAGGCTTTCTCATTTTTTTCTATTTTGGAAAATATCTCCATTTCCATATCCTTTTAACATCTTTTACATTCCTTCCAACATCTTCCAATTTTCCATTTTCTTTTTTTAATACCCAAGAGACACAATAACATTAAAAAACAAATTTTTCATTTGTTGTGAGAATTCTTTTCCTGGGGATATTAAGAAATGCTTATTCCCTTTTAAAGTTTTAGTGTCAAACCAACGTTTGATTAAAGTGTTACTGGGGAACCAATGAATTTATTGAGCTTACTTACTGAGATAACTGAGGGGTTGCTGAGATGTATTAGTGACTTGAGGGTATGCATACTGGAAAGCCTTTACCTAGCATGGGTCATGCCTTCTCTTCCTAGCCTTCACCAGATTGTGTATTTTAGCCCTCCCCAAATCCAGGAGACCATGTGTGATTAGGGCCAAATTACATATAGTTGGCTGGGAAAAGCGGCTGGATACTCTGGTGAGGGTCCAAGTGACCCTGCTTGCCCCTCCTTTAATGAAGGAGCAGAACTGTAAACAAGCCCAACTGTGACGATGTTGAGTGATCAGGCACAGCTGAAGTGGTGATGATGGTAGATATTTCATGCAGAAGAGGCTGCTGTACAGCATCATCTTATTACAAGGACATGGAATTTAAAGGAATTTGGTGCTAAGATCCACAAATGAAGGAGAGCATTTGTCATTTCTTTTTCTGAGTCTGTGTTACTTTACTTAGCATAAGTTTCTAGATCCACTCATTTCCCTGCAAATTTCATTATTTCATCTTTCTTTACTGCTGAATAGAACTCCATTGTGTAAATGTACCACGTTTGTTAATCACTCCTCAGTTGAGGGACACTTAGGTTACTTCCATCTCTTAGCTATTGTGAAAAGAGCAGCAACAATCATGGTTGGGTGTACAAGTATCTCTGCAATAGGATGAGTCCTTTGGGTGTATGCCAAGGAGTGGTATAAGTGGGTCATATGGTAGGTTCATTTTAGTCTTGTAAGAGTTCTTCACACTATTTTCCATAGGGGTTGCATGAGTTTGCAATCCCACCAGCAGTGAATGAGCATTCCCCTTTCTCCACATCCTTGCCAGCATTTGGTATCATTTGTTCTCTTGACCCTAGCCAGTCTGGTTGGGATAGATACCTTAAGGTGGTTTTAATTTGCATTTTCCTAATTACTGATGATGTCGAACACTTTTTGAGATGTTTCTTAGCCATCTTTATTTCTTCCTTCGAGAACTTTCTGCTTAGATCTTCAGCCCATCTTTTAATTCGGCCATTTGGTTTCTCGCTTCTTTGTTTTTTGAGTTCTTTATATATTCTGGATGTTAAACCTCTGTCAGATGTATCAGTGGTGAAGATTTTTTCCCATTCTGTGGGTTTTCTCTTCACTTTTTTATTGTTTCCTTTTCTGTACAGAAGGTTTTGAGTTTAATGAGGTCGCACTTGTTGATTGTTGACCTTAATTCCTGAGCAACTTCTGTTCAATTTAGAAAATCCTTTCCTACACCTATATCTTGTAAGTTACTGCCAATATTTTCTTCTAATAGTTTCAGGGTTTCCTGTTTCACATGGAGGTCGTTGAGCCATTTGGAGTTGACTTTTGTGCAAGGTGAAAGATAAGGAGCTAGTTTTATTCTTCTACAGGTAGAGATCCAGTTTTGCCAGCACCATTTGTTGAAGATGGTGTCTTTCCTCCATTGTGTGTTCTTGGCACCCTTGTCAAATATCAGGTGGCTGGAATTTCCTGTACTCAGGTTTGGGTCTTCAATGATGTTCCATTGATCTATGTATCTATTTTTTTTGCCAGTACCACACTGTTTTTTTGACAATAGCTCTATAGTATACATTGAGGTCTGGTATAGTAATCCTCCCAGCACTGCTCTTTGTGCTCAGGGTTGCTTTGGCTATCTGGGGTCTTTTGTGCTTCCGTACAAATTTAAGGATGGCTTTTTTTTTCTAATTCTGTGAGGTATGTCATGAGGATTTTGACTGGTATTGCATTGAATCTATATATTGCTTTGGGGAGGATGGTCATTTTCACAATATTAATTCTTCCAATCCATGAGCATGGGAGGTCCTTCCATCTCCTGGTGTCTTCCTCAATCTCTTTCTTTAAAGATTTAAAATTTTCATTGTAGAGATCTTGGTGTCTTTGGTCAAATTTATTCCAAGATTTTTTGCGGCAACAATTGTGAATGGGATCATTTCCCTGTATTCTTTCTCCAATTTTTTGCTATTGATATATAGAAATGCTACTGATTTTTGTAGACTGATTTTATAACCTGCTGCTATCCTGAAAATATTGATCAGTTCTAGGAGTTTTCTGGTGGAACTTTTGGAATATCTTAGGTGTACTATCATATCATCTGAAAAATTGATAACTTGACCTCTTCTTTTGCAATCAGTACTCCTTTAATTTCCTTCTCCTGCCTTATTGCTCTAGCAAGAGTTTCAAGCACTATGTTGAAAAGGAGTGGAGATAGTGGACATCCTTGTCTGGTTCCTGATTTTAATGGGAATG